AAAAAAACTCAACTAGGCCAAGCATTGTCTGTGAGCTAGGAACTTGATTCAAATCCAGCACATACTAATAACTAAGGACTCTGTGAAGGAGAGCTAAAGCAAAGTGAGCTGTCCTTAGCAGTAGAAACCCTACTAAAAAGATCTAAAAGACCATTTAGATCTTTTTCTGTGCCAAAGAATGAACAAGCACAAAGAAATGGTTAGGAGATGAGTACTGTACATTGCCCTCGACTATCTTTTCACTTCGACCTTGACTTAACTGGAAAAAGGGAGTTGCAACATGGCTATAACTGAGGAGAAGGGGATCATGTTAGAAAAGACAGAAAAGGCAGAGGAGAGGAAGGGAAAGGTTGAGGTTTGCTTGGTAGATGAGGGACAGAAAGGAAAAGGGGAGGAGCAAAGAATGTCAGTTTGGGAAGAAAGTATAAATGCCCAGGGGGAGCAATGGTTTGGCAGTAAGCTTGAGGGAGAGAGAATGAGAAGGAAGGAAGAACAAGACAGTTCGAAAAGGCGCACAGATTGAGAGATTTCCCAAACTTGAAAGTTGTTGGACTATTGCCTGACCTGGAGCCAAAGCGAGAGGGACAGACTTTATTAGAAACCCAAGAATGAACAGTCATTGTCTTCCCGCGCGGACAGGGCACAGGCAAAAAGGCGATCCGTCCTGATCCCATCTGTAACAGATCACCGAAAGAAGGAGACTGGGGAGACACCCATGTTACGGAACCATCTGTGCGGTGAGGAGCGCGCCCCTTCGGAACCCCACCGGCAGGGAGCGTTTTGGCCCAGCGCCCCAATGAGTTATCCGGATTTTCACCGCGAGTTAACGTCTTCAAGTTATGGCCCATTGCCAGAGTTCTCTTGTTTCAACCCGATAGAAATAATTGTTGAAAAGCCTGAGACTAATAAAAGCGAAAATATGAGTTTAGTAAATAACTTCACTTCCCACCCAAGCAGTTTAACCCAAAACAAGCAGCTTTTAAAGCAAGTACCCCTATGCACGTTTCTACACAAGCAGGTTTCAGCCCAAATGGAGCACCTTTTCACCCAAGCAGTTTAACCCAAAACAAGCAGCTTTTAAAGCAAGTACCCCTATGCACGTTTCTACACAAGCAGGTTTCAGCCCAAATGGAGCACCTTTTCACCCAAGCAGTTTAACCCAAAACAAGCAGCTTTTAAACTACATTTAACATTTTAAAACGACAATACCAGGCAGTCCCAGGTCTCTCTCCCATCAATCTAACTGCTTGGACTAGCAAGGAAGCAGACAAGCAGCCTCTTCACTAACTGAAAGTTTGAATTTCCCAGCTTTCCCTGCCTTTCCCATATATTAGGTATGCTAATATCTGTGCACTGGAGGATTGTGGGAGGAACATCCAGCCCCTGATAGGGGTCCTGTGGGGCACCCCAAAACACTGAGGAGCTCTCTTGGCCTCTTTTGGGACTGGAGCTGTGCAGCCCTGTTCTGATCAGGAGGTGCAGCCGGGGGGTCACCATGCCTTTGGGGGATAGGGCACAGAAAGGGGAAGAATTTTCAGGGGCCATTCCAACTCATACCTGGCAGGGGAGATATCATTATTGTAAAAGTGGTTTTCCCAGGGTAAGGCTCATCTATTGCACTCTGGATATGCTGACCCCTGTGATTTCCCCAAATGTGGGAAAATCAACTGCCTAAGTGGGGGACGGTGTGGGTTTCCCTGGCCTTTCTAGAATTACTCTTTCCCCTTTGGTCCTTGGCTGTTTTCATTGCCTGCTGCCATAGGCCTGTTAGCCTTGCTGGTTTTCCAGTTGGGCTGCAAAAAGCACATCCTGGAAAGCCAGCAGTGCAGAATGGTGAGGTCCAAACAGCAAGCAGTCTTTGGTGCCAGTTCAGAGGCCTCCCAGCATGGCAGTGGGAGGCTTCTGGGTGGTGATGGCTGAACCCTTTTTTTTACTGTATTCGCTCCATAAGCCGCACATACTCCCCCCCCCTTTTTTGAGGGAAAAAGTGCGTCTTACGGTATGTGGAACATGTTGGACATGAAAAAATGTTACTCCTCCCCCAACCATAATCTGAAGTAGTGAAATCCATTCTGTCCCCTCTCCTATTTGCATAGGCCAGGCCAGAGAACTAGTCATTAAAGTCCTTGTTGCACATGGGTTAAGGTCCAAGGGGAAATACTGGGCGAGGATGTGGGAGGAAACAGTGGGAGAGGTGTGTGTGTATGTGTTTTACATGCCCATGTAGCATACCTTTTCCATAACAAGACGAGCCAGCTTGATTGGATTTGCTATACATTTCACAGCAGATACTGCTCCTGAGGACAGATTTTTTCCATCCATGATAATGGCATCCATTTCTACTTCACCTTTCTCATTTAATACAGAGCCGCAACCTAAAA